AGAAACAACGCGTTTTGAAGGCTGTTTCGAAGCCTGGCCCCTGCCAGAAGAGGAAACGCTGAGTTTCACGGTTTCTGCTTTAAACGAACTAAATGTCCTTCCGTTACACAGAGCTGTCATTTCATCTTGTGACTCAAATTTGCCTGTTGCAGTAGAAGGAATGAATAAGGTACACGGAGGTACCAGCTTTTGCCCAGAATGGATCAGATTTGCAGTCTGCATTGTTTTAGGCTCAGATGCACCACTGCTGACGTCAGACACAGGTAGGACATCTTTTAGAGTACCACTGCTGTAAGGCAGGGAAATTCCGGTGTCAGGACAGAGCAGTTCCAGACGATTCAAGGATTCGTCGATTTGGGCCACGCTGTCACCGTATTTTCCCACGTGTCCTATCGAGGATATCGTGGCTGCGGCGGAGGTCATCAGCTGCACCTTTTCGGCTTTGAGCTGTTGTAAAATTTCATGCGACCTAACCGACGTCAGACTGGCAGCCATGGCGCGCTCCAACTCCTCATCATTCTGGATTTCCTCGTCGTTGCGGTCTGATGAAACGCTTTCGACCTCGTCTAAGTCGGGAGTAGTGCCAGTCAGCGAATCTGAGGCCATGTCCATGCTCTCGCGACTGAGTATGGCCAACGAATAGTCATAAGTGCACGACGACATGACGCCTTTGGGCAGGGAATGAGTGGAGAGGTTCTGGAAACTCGAGCCACCCGGACTGTTGCGCACGTCCGAAAACCGATTGAGCATCGAGTAATAAGAGACTTGGTCAGAAACACTATCCTCCTCCACTTCGACGATGTCCTCCAACGCCTTAAGGTCGCTTTCACTCAACTGCGTAGGAAACGGTGCAGGACCACAAACGCAATCCACGTCAGACGCAACGGTTAGCATGCTGGCATCACTTGCGGTTTGGATGGTCATGTTGCACTGCTCGCCAGTGGTCTCTGAATTCGAAGAATATATCGGAATAGGCACCGCTTCAGTGCCCATGGGCGGTTTCAAACCTTTGGGTGGCACAACGCCGTTTGCCTGTTTGTGAAGGATGAACAGACCGCTGCTGCGCTGTTCCATCTCCTGCTGCGAGATCCACATTTTGACGCGTTCGATCTTGTAATTGTTTGCCAAAGCCGGAGGGGGTAAATCAGGAACAGCAGGGAGCTGTGCCTTTGGCCCGTCGACCCAAGTTTCGGGCTCTGTTCTTTGGAACGGCCGGCCGGATCCTGTTCGCCTTGACTCTTCAGGAGACCGCCCCAGATGGTAGGGACCGTTCATGTTCAACGATGACGAATGGCCGGAAACAGGCTCGTCGCGTCTGATGTTGATGTCACTGCCTACAGCTGCCATAGAACTCAGATAGATGGGGGTATCGACAGTGCGGAAAGAATGGCTCGGAAAATCTCGCTGCGTTTCCCGCTTCTGTGCTGCAGGCGGAAAGCAAGAAGGAGCACCGGACGGCTTCCGACAGCATAACGATTCAGGCTTCGACAACGGTGGCTGGGAAAAGTCTGACGAACCAAGGAAGATGACCGTATCGCAGGACTGCTCGGAACTGGACGTCGTACAGTCAGGGTCGGAGGCGCTGCGATGGAGCCCGCGATGACGTCCTCCTCGGTCATCACAGGAACTCTCGCCACCGGATGAGTTGCCACTGCCGCCGACGTGGAACTAGAAAACGAAGACAAATCAAAGCAAAGCACCGAACGTTGCTCAAGCAGACAAGGAAGAAAAGGAAAAGTGATATGCCGCCAACGCGAGGGCATGCTCCTCGAGTGACGGGAGGAGTCATGCACTTGGAAATGAGTTATGACAGAAGATACAGCTTTTTGTGCTCCTCGCCTCGACTCGAACCGTAGAAAAACCAGTGCAAATTGCTAACCGCTCCGCATTGAAGGTGGAATTGGCGGAATGCTCAGAGTGGCCGAAACTTTTCAAATCGTTTTGTCTGCTCGTAAGACTTACAGGATCTGACAAAATAAGTCTGGTGTAGAAACAAATGGCAGCAATCAGAAAAAAATGTCTGCAAAATGAATAACGAGCATCAAATTCGGCTAGCTTCACAACTACAAACGGCTTTTACGTAAAGGCCAACGTACTGCAACTTTACAACACCCATCATCGAACAGTTTGGGGACGTGCATGTGCTTCGAGTTAAGGCACGCCGTGCTCAGAAAACTATTTCCGGCCTCGGTTAGAATAGAATAGTTAGTTTAAATAGAAAGTAAGCGGTCACTGATTAGCAGACAACAAATTAAAATATCCATGGTCATCCACTGTTGAAAATTATCGAGATACTCTGATCACCGTTTAGTACTACTTACAACCTAAGAGAGGCAAAAATAAACTGAACTTTCTTCATCTCACTGAGTTGAGTATGCTTTTGCTGGAGAGGTTAGCAAACAAACACACTACGACTACGATGACCTGGCATGTAGACTATTCTGAAGTACAAGAAAAGGTACCATATCCTTTGAAGTACATGCCGAATCTGGACCAGGGGATAAGAATCGCCCTACGGTACTGTGAAGAGAAGTACAATTTGAATAGAAGGATTTTATTGAAGATCCTACAAGCTTCAATTTGGGCAACTATATCACCGCCCTGATTAAGAATACAACGCAAAGCGACTAGACCAGATTATAGTCATCAACGTGACTACAAACGTAATGCATAGAAGTAAAAACTCTTATAACTCGATGTAAAATTAAGGATATTATTATACTTCTGTATGCAACAGTACGATATTCGCCACTATGCGATATAGAGTCATGTATTAAAGCACAGTAACATAGGCATGATAATTTGCGTAAGTCAACTACCAAAGATGGCATACTATGCATTTTCACAGAACTGTATACCAAGATTCCAAAAATATATAGCTACATTTGAAACTATAGAAACATGTGGCATTAATC